AAATTTAAATAATGTCTCAGTAATCGGATAACAATATTTAAAAAAAGTAAAAAGAAAACACAAAAATCCTCAGTTAAGCTTTAGCGCTTTCATTTTCAATCTTCAGAAGCTTACAATAGTATCATAGTAACAGATATTATGACGTCATGTTAAGCAGAACGTTAAATATCTATTATGACGTCATAGATACAATATGACAAAAGTACGGGAAAATCACAAGTAATTTATAAAACACTATTAAGTTTTGGCTGAAAAATACTAATAAAATGTTTTTCTTTTTCCCGTCTCTGGATATCAGTGGCACAACTGAGTTTATAGAAAGGGAAAATTTTGAATTGTTTTTTACCACACGCCTCCAGGTGCGAACTTAATTGAATTTGTCTGTATTCGGGTGTACTAATGTGTTGTTTATGTACACGTACACGGGCACTGAGAGTGTTGCCGGTTTCACCAATATAATATTCCTTGCATCCAGGACAGGTGATGACATAAATGACATTTTTAGTATCGCATGACATGTCTTCTTTAACTCTAAATTCACGCCCATTGAAATTATAGCTGGTCCCTTCTGTAATGTATTCACATGTACCGCATCGAGGGTTCTTACACTTAGAGACTGTATAAGTATGGTCGTTGAATTTGAAAGAACAAAGTATTCTCTTTAGGTTTTTGGGTTGGCGTTTACTGTTGATAAAACGACAATTCTTGTATACGTTTTTCGTTTGTTCGTCCTCTCTAAGTACGTTGTTCAATTCATAAATAATAGAACTCACGTTTTGATTTCTCGGGTTATGTGTGTGTACAAATGGAATTAATTCAACGTCATTCGCACGTCGTATGTTTAAGAGTAACTGACTTCTATCGCACTCCTTGGCTTTCTTTATACCATTATCTACAAGTTGTTCTGGATATTTTTGGTTTAATAAATACAATTTTAATTCCTCCAGTCGAATATCCCTGATATTGGTATTACTCACAATGGTGCATATCCTTCTTGCGAGGTTATATGGTATAGCTGTTTTAGTGTGATGGGGATGGCTCGATCCAAAATGCAGATATTGGTGTGTGTCGGTTGGTTTATAGTAAATATCCGTATTTAAGCTGGTATCATCCTTTGTTACAAGAACATCGAGGAATGGCATTTGCAAATCATCTGTTTCCATCGTGAATTTGATATCCGAATTCATTTGGTTAAGTACATCATAAAACTCCGTTAGTTTATCGACATCCTCCTCCCATAAGATAAAACAATCGTCTAAAAATCTTTTCCATTTAGACCGTATTTTGTTTGCAGATTCTATCCCCCATAAGGTACACAATTGATCATGTAATTTATGTTCTAGATAACCAAGGGTTAATGTTGCATAGGTAGGTGCAACTTTTGTCCCCATTGCTGTTCCCTTAATTTGGAGGTAATGATGGTCTGAGAACTCAAACGTATGGTTATCTAGAACTAATTTTAAAGCCTCTAGGATGAAGTCCCGTTTAAACCTGTTGTTTAGAACATCGGGATAATTTTCAGTCCAGAATTTGACAGCTAGCAATCCCAATTCTGTAGGAATATTCGTATACAAACTTACAACATCCAGTGTGACAAGTTTGGTGTTAGAGGTGACATGAGTAGGTAAATGATTTATAAAATCCAGATCGTCTCTCACAAAGCTGGGTACTTTTCGACAATATGGTTTTAAAAGTATATCCAATAAATGACTCAGTCTTTGTGTTGAAGAGTTCGGTCCTCCTACAATTGGTCTGAAGCTTAAATCAGCGGGATCAGCACATGTAATGCATATACTATTTTGCTCTTTTATGGCATCCTTAATAATTTTAGACTTGTGCACTTTAGGTAAACCATAGAATTGACTCTCTTGGAATTCAAAGTTTGTCAGGTAGTCCTTTTCCTTATCTGTTAAACCCTCCGATAGTTTTTCACCCAGTTTTTCATAATGAGGTCCGGCACACATGAATACTTACATTTTAATTGTTTTACTACTTGAAACGCTTTTCACTATAAACCCATATTTCTTGTTGTTTTTTGTTCAGCTAATTGAATATTCCTTTTTTTAAGCATTGCATTTTTATTGTTTATTTAAGAATCAGATCTTTTATAATACAATGGGGATCGAAATTTTTTTTTGTTCCTTAAAACAGCATTTAAAATTAAACCATTAGGAAAAAAACTGGGTGTTAAACCCTTCTCCAGACCAAATGTCATGTTTCCATGTGTTGGGGGCATTCAGGTACATGAAAACCTGGGTGTTAAAAACCCTTCCCCACATCAAATGTCAGGTACATAAAAAGGTGTCAAGCGCTTTTCAGTGACAAACCAGGCGTATAACACTTTTCGGTGAAAAACATGGCGTCAAGCACTTTTCGGAGAAAAACAAGTCGTCAAAGTTTTTTATGGTTTTTTCTTACTATTATACATACTTTTCGGAGAAAAACAAGTCATCAAGCAGAAACAAGTCGTATAAAGAAGTCGCCAAATGTTACATCTTATACTACTAAACGCATTTATTACGATATTAAACCATTCTTATTTAAACTTGCTATTGAAACTAATAATAGAGTCGTGCACTATCTTGAGATGCATGAAATCTAATTTGTGACGTGAAAATTACACAAGTTTTTTATGGATTAAACTACATCTCCAAGTCTTCCTTGCCCGATGCTTTAAGTCCCTCGAGTCAGCTGCTTGAAGCAGAGAGGAAAGTACAATTATAGTGCCACAGCCTCTGGTGGAGAAGACTTGTAAAAAGGCATTTTATCGACATTTTGAAATTTGGACGTATCTTTGAACCAACTAAGAACTTCAAAATTACTTCGAATTTAAAGAAATTGAAAGGTTTTGGGGCAATTAACATCTAATTTATGTATTTACAACATAAACTCCAACAAAAAACACGCAAACATTAGTACATGTAGTAGGACAAAACAATTTTTTTCTACTTATATTGACAAAATAGTATTATTGATATCCATTTAATAAACGGAAAAATAATTCAGTGTGAAAAATATGGGCTTCATATAAACCCATAAGTTACTGTTAATATGAAAATATAATAAAATTCTTATTTCATATATAAAACTATAATACAGAAAATTCAGAGGAAAAAGGTAAAACACCCTGACTAGCTTAATTAGTCCGTGCCTAGTGTTCTGTACAGAGATTAACAAATTGAATACATCCGTGAAACATAAAAAAATTTGTAAACAGGGCACGAGTTAATATTTAAGAATCACCAGGTGTGTTCAATTGTTAAAATCTGCACAAACCACTGAACACGGACTCGCAATATAATGTGCGCACGTTTTACTTTCGAATATTTCTAATCTGAATTTTTTGGTTATAGATTTAATATTTTTCATTAATATACAACAAAATTACCACTTTTCTTAAGTATTAAGAATAGAATTGAAATTTGTAAAAATGCAAAGACCTGTCAATCAAACCCGTCAATAACTTCAAAATGATATAAGATTTTTTATTATTGCAATTACAAATCGTAATATCATACAGAATTTGAGAAAATATTGACTTCAAATATCTTTCTATGCATCTTTATAGGGAATTTGTCGATATTACTATGTGCTTCATTTACAGTATATGTCAAATACAAAAAAAGAACATATGATCATAGATTCAAATAGGGTGTAGACTTAGATGTCTTAATTTATTCCTCGTTAAAATAAAACTCTGCTATGTTAAAAGAATCAAAATAAAGACTTTTAAATGATTGTTTCGTCTTTGTTTATTAGTACAAAATTAACCATATAACAAGTATTTAACTGTCACTTCAACATGTATAAAATGGGTAACAAGGAAAAAGCTTAAAAGGTTGAAATTAATCCATTACATGTAAGTAGGAACAATAAATTATATTATTACAAATATTTGTTAAATGATCTATATGAAAATAACGAACAGTGTTCAAACTCAAAAGTCCATCAAACAATACAAAATTGGAGCAGAACAAACTAGGACTCTCTAAAAAAAATTCAGAGGTGAGATCAGGTACCATGGAGGAGTGAACATCCTCTGCCGAACTTTCACACCCGCCATGCGCCCCTTATGTTTTGGGGAGAACGGAAAAATATGTTGGCAATTAATTAGGTAAATAATGGTCTAACAATATATTAATCCTTATGAAAATAGTCAGTCACTATTTGACTTAATGATGAATTGTATTTACTAACAAGGTGATTGTCTCGATTATAGTTAGAAATTGTTCGTAAATAGAACATGCTCTTCCGTATCGAAACAACTGAAAGATATATAGCTGGTACTCCATATGCAGATGACAAAGGTACATGTTTATTGCTTCGTAAGTAATGGAAGTTGACAGTTGAAAAGAAGATATCTTCACGTTGAACAATGTTGAGAATGTCGAAAAAAATGACAAACACCAGCAAATTCTCATTTATATCCTATCAAAGTAGGTTATTAAAATCATTTTTATGAATGAAGGAGGGGGAGTGATTAAATATTCCCTTAGGAGCGCAGATGAAGTCATGGAGATTGTATTTTCAAGTTATATGCTCCTGTACAGAATTATCCTGAACTCCGTTTTCATTACAATGAATATTTACATGTTCTAATTATAAATATACCACCTCCCCTCAAAATTATTTTTGTTTCTTGTTAATACCATAACTTCAGGAAGATTAATTGGGCTTTAGACACTGATTCATCATAACTTTTTCTCTATGTTTAGACATATTCGTGTTACATTATTTATTTCACGTACACACATTTCACATGGATAAGTATCACGACTTCTAATTAGTTTACATATAAAAATTTTACTTAAAAAAATTGAATTGACCAATTCAATACCGGGGTATCTTCAAAACCTCAACATTAAGTGTATGGAGAATAAATTAATATCTAACTATTATAAGCAAATAAAGTTACGCGCGTGATTTTAATAATAATAGTCATTGCCTCATTTCCATTATATAATTCTGAGTGTCTCTGATATCCTGAAAGACAGATTCTTCATTCTTTAAGTAGTATTTTTTTTCTCAGTCAATGGTCCTGTAAGACGACCTTTTTGCTATTTGAAAAATCATACTTATCCCAGCAAAAGCCGATAGAACGATGGAAAGTGCACAGAAAACAAAGGAAAAGTTGAAGTTGAAGTTGAAATCTTTTCGTATGCCTTCACCTACCAAGTTAGGATATTTCCTGGCAAAAACTGATATAGACACAACAGTGCATAATGCTGCAACAGAAAAAAAAATAACATCACTTTCTTTAAAATCTTTTTAAACTTCTCTTAAGTTAACCAGTGATATTTCTTTATCTTTAGAATTCTATGCAAATTTAGATCATGATTTGTCGCTTGAGAATGAGACAAAAATAAAACACCTGCGCATCTTGTCTTTGATATACATACCGCTCATGAAAGACAAGATTATTGCGATGATCAACAAGGAGATTCTGTTCTTCAAACAAATCTTCAATGAGGCAGAAATAAGAGCAATGGCTGAGATGAGTACCCCAATGAGACCAAATCCTCGTACTGCTTTCAGCCAATCTACAACAAGTCAATTTTCAAAAATAAAATGATCCTTTCTAGTTTATTCATTCGATAGAGGTTTTCTGTTGTGTAGCGTACACATGTATTTAATACTGGTGATCATGAAAACATGTTACAGTACCGTTTTTTCGTTACATTCTTTGTTTGATTGTATACGTTTCAATATTACCCTTAAACATGAAAACATGAACATATTCCTAAAAATTTGGCTAAGCAACAAAATGTATATCTAGATCTGTACCTGGAACATCGTCGTACTTTTTGCATTCGTGTACTTGTGAGGCTGGTATATCAAGACAGCTTTTCCAGAGACCTCCATAAAATTTTACGCCATTTTTGTCAGCAGAGAACCAATATGACGTAGCCAAACCTATCACGTCCAGTATAATGGCCATGAACAGGAATAGGCAGCCAAATACGAGGAACTTCATTTTTGTATTGTTTAGGTTTCGCTGTCACCTGGTAAAAAAAAAATAAAAAAATAAATGCATGTATCTCTTTTTTTTTTTTTTTTTTTTTTTTTTTTTTTGCTTACTATTTTCGCATACATTAAAATACACCAAAAATACTCAGATATGTTCTGCAAACCAATTCCTCTCTGTCGATGGTACAGACTATTTAGAATTTCCTGAAAGATGATAATTTATTCTACATTCAGAGAAAACTTGATGCTCTGTGTAAATCAGGAATAAAACAAACATTTTTAATAGAGGATACATAATTAATTCCAATTTTATGCAAATCGATTCCCTTACACCTCCTTAGACCCTCTTTACATATGTACTTGTTTTCAAGTCTGACCAAGAATAATACATATAATTGAATCCCTTTTTTTTTTTAATTTTTAACAAATTTTATACTTCTACATTTTTCAACATAGCATTTGATTAGTTTGAAATAAGTTAATGTATAACGGGAAAATCTCGAAGTTCGTTATTTACAAGTAGAAGCATATATGTTTAAATTGAGATTTTTTTTCTCCTAGTCAAGATTCAACATTAAAATTTTCCGCTATCTGAAGATTTATAAACGTTTAATAGCTCTTGGAGAAAATTGTCAATGAATAATTTTTAGACTACTTAACTACTTTACGACTTTGAAAAACTAGTGATAAAAGAAAACCGTTTTGAGTAATATAATTAATTTCTTTATTATTAAAAATGTGATTCGTACACAAATTTAAAATAACACATAACAAGAAGTCAGATATATTTATTCATAACCAGGAACTAAGAGTAACATATATAGCATGAATATAAATGTATAAAATTGCACAAGTGAGAGAGAGATAAATCTCTTGGAATTGTCAGTTTACCAGTAGAATTTTATCAAAACGTTTGCAATAGTTTTATGAAGTTTTTTTTTTTCACTGTGGTATCATCCTTTGAAAAAGGTGAAACAAAAAGAAATATTGTGTGTTTTTATACATTAGAATGATGTTTTTTGCATGTACATACATGTATATAACAAAAATGAAAATTACTAACCTTTCTTTTAGTCTTTAACAAACACAATTATTGAACTAAAGTCTTTGTGATTGCAGAAAAAACTGTTTAAGATATAACAGGAAATTGTTATAATCAAACAGGAAATTGTTATAATCAAACAGGAAATTGTAAAGGTCGATTCATCGGTACTTTTATGCTGGATTATTTTTAAAAAAAACCCAGAAGTCTCTGTTGAGACTGAAGCTCTACTGGTTTGTAATTATAGCAAAGCAAGAGAAAAGTACTTAAAAGCAGTTTGGAATTGAAACTTTTCAACAGCAATAAATAGAATAATGATCCTTGATTAAGTCTCTTTATGTTCTTAGTGTAGTCTACATGTACTTGCATGCCATATTATATCATAATCAGACAAAAAATGTATTTGGAGTAGCATTTTGAAAGAATTTCACAGAAATTTCTATTTTTAGTAACCACGGCAACACCGTTCATCGAAATCAAAAACCGATACACAGAATTATGTATCTTAGGGTAGTCTACTTGTGTGCCAAGTTGTATTGAAATCAGACCAAAACTGTAGTAGGAGTAGCATTTTGAAATAATTTCAAAGAAATTTCTATTTTTAGTAACCACAGCAACACCGTTCAAAGAAATCAAAAACCGATAACTAGAATTATGTATCTTAGTGTAGTCTACTTGTGTGCCAAGTTATATTGAAATCAGACCAAAACTGTAGAAAGAGTAGCATTTTGAAAAATTGTTTTCAGACAGACAGACAGACGGACGGACGACGGACGCATTACTATCGCATAAGCTCTTCTGGTCTCTGACCAGTAGAGCTAAAAATTCTGTGAAAATAGCTAGAACGGGAAGAGATTTTACGTTATGCAGATTAAAAAAAGCTTTTGAATGATAATTGGAATGATTTTTTAAAAAGCTCTCCCGAAATATAACTTGAGACACAAGTTTATAAAGTAGCAAAAATAAAAGATATAAAACCTTGATCAGAGTTTTCTCTGATTTGAAATTTTACTCTGTCGCAAAAATGTTTGTATTATAGATATATTTGATACACAAATTCAATGCACACACATCTAAATAAATATACAAATGGATCTTTAAGATAAGGCCGTTTCAAGTTTTTTTTCTCTATGTTTGGTTTCGGCAAGTGCTTTGGTTTTTAAAACCGAATATCCCCCCAAAATCTAAGAATACCTAAAATTAATTATTCTGGTCAAAATCTTTTTAATCGTCGATTTTTCTTATCATTTATCGACAGTATGTCATATAAGCGACATTTTAAGCATTGAACACTTTTATCTTGCTGAAGATTAGCCTTTTTATTTACCAGAAAAATGGATAAATGAAATGAAATCTATTTACAAAAGCTATTTTAATCTTTATAAACTATGTGTGTGTGTTTTTTATTAAGCAGTTGGGAATTAAAACTTTACAACGGCAATAAAGAAAATAACGATCCTTGATAAAGTCTCTTTGTGTTCTTAATGTAGTCTACTTGTGTGCCAAGTTATATTGAAATCAGACATGTAGGAGAAGTAGCATTTTGAAAGAATTTTACAGAAATTTCTATTTTTAGTAACCACGACAACAACGTTCATCGAAATCAAAAACCGATAAAGAGAATTATGTATCTTAGTGTAGTCTACTTGTTTGCCAAGTTATATTGAAATCAGACCAAAACTGTTGGAGGAGTAGCATTTTGAAAGAAATTTCACAGAAATGTCTGTCTATTTTTAAAAAAAACACAGCAACACCGTTTACCGAAATGAAAAAAAAACGATACACAGAATTATGTATCTTAGTGTAATCTACTTGTGTGCCAAGTTATATTGAAATTAGACCAAAACTGTAGGAGGAGTTGCATTTTGAAAAATTGTTTACAGACAAACGGACGGACGCCGGACGATTACTATCGCATAAGCTCTTCTGGTCTAGCTCTGACCAGTAGAGCTAAAAATGATCATTTTTGAAAAGTATGTCAAACTTCAAGGACAAGGATATAGGATTAAACGTTCTTTTTTCAGAATTTATCGATGTGTAAACTCTGCCTTTTTACTCACAAACTGAATAAAAGTGCGAAAGTTACGAATTTTTAAAATTATTTCTCTTTGAGGCCGCCATACAATCCGTTATTTTGTACGGCGTAGGAATATATATTTAATATATCTTTATGCCGCAAAGAAACGTATACAAAATGAATATCGATAAAATCCAAATTAAATTGTGAAAACAATCAAGAAACAAACTTATAAAAACTCATTGATTGTTGTTTTAGTCAACAAATATCGTAAATACGCGTATTCTTCATGGCCATGGCCATGTTGACATTAACGACAACGCTCATAGCGAAAGTTGCAGACCGACAACGTCTTCGATTTGCTCTGGTTTGTTCAAAAATTTAGGGAGAATATGGGATCAGGATGTAAATATATGAATTTAATGCTGATAAGGCAAGAGTCTGAGGTACGTTTCTTTTCCCTATCACACCTATACAAACTGAGCTGATATGGAACGTCGAGAAGATGATAGCATGATCATTTATTATGTAAAATTCACACTCGTGATCCGACAGTGACATAAACATAATATTCCCGTCTGTCAGTCCTGTTTTTCATCTGTTTTGCTTTTTTTCATTTCAAGTTTCTTGTAATCATAATTTAGCTAAAACGCACTAGAAGTTTATATGTTTTCATTGTTTTTACAACAGCCTAGAAGCTAGTCAAGAAAGTAGTTCTGATTGAAAAATTCATCGATGTGTACACTTTTTCTTGAATTTGTTCTCGTCCAATCAAAACACAGGATATCAATAAATAAAACTAGATGCTGTCATGAGACAGTAATACCCGCACTATGGTGTTTGCCTCTAAATACACACTCCTTCATATTGGACTTTCCAAGGAAGAAGTCAAAATAATTCTATAATTATCACCGTACATGTATTCGTCAAATTGAACATAAAATTTTCAGTGACCATATGATCTATGAGCCTCATATATGTATTTTGAATACTTAATTCATTACCAGTCTGAAATAACAGAATTTAATTAATGATTGAAGTAAATTACTTAATTAGATTCAGATAAATATTTTGCCCATAATTTGGAACTTTTTAAATTTACTTTCTCAACGACATAAAATATTATTTTAGTACAAAGCGTTTTTGATGAATTTATCGAAATGTGCAAACTGATTTTAGTACTTGGTCGGAGAAAAAAACCCATTGAAAATACAACCCGATTAATTTGTCAATGCCTATCTCTCTCTCTCTCTCTCTCTCTCTCTCTCCCCCCCCCCCCACACACACACACTCACTCCCACATTTTTTTAAAATAGACCTAGATGGCAAAGTTATATTAAAACATAGTTTATTATGATAGTTTGAAATTTGTTCTTGTACTAAACAGTTTGACGTGTGAACATCTTATTTTCTACATTCACAATGGGTTTGCGTCACCCATTATCATATTTATAGATATCACCTCTCGGCACACCTCGGCCGATTCATACTGGCAACGGAATCAGCAAAGGTTTGTCGAATGAGATTATTTAGCACATGTATGCTGACGATGCAGTGTGGTCAGTTAAAATCATTTGTGTTTTAATTGGATTATATGGATTATATTTCATGAATTCGTTGTCACGACCTATGACATTCGGTAAGTACAAGATTTAGTATAGATTGCATAAAAATAAATAAATGCAAATGGATAGGTTTAAGTTCAAAAAGGGTCAAAGATCATCGCATGCCACAGTCGACAAATTTCACATTGTCAAATTATCTCCCGTTGCGGACATTCAGTATATACAGGCGCAGATCCAGAATTTTTTTTTCAGAAATTTGGGGGGGGGGGGTGTCACACCTCAGTCAAAAAAATCAGCCCAAGATTTCCTGAGAAGCAAATAAAAAAAAATAATAAAAACAATGATGGTGGAGTCCCTGTTTTCTAAGGGGGAGGATGTCCAAAGTCATTTTTATTCTCTACAGTACATAGTCTTATTTAAATAATTGCTAATTCCAGGAGGGGGGGTCTGATCTCCGTAGCCACTGACTCCCTGTACCTGAAATGACAATTGGTCTTATGACCCCATAATAGTAGAAATTTTTTTCATTTGACTATATATACATACCAGTATTTTGTTTCCTATGTTTATGTATGTTTTTCTGTCCACAGAAACTTTAACCTTGCCCATAAGTTTTAAGTGGATTGGGCTATACACATGGCTTCAATATTTCATAGGTTAATTTCTTTTGGCAAAACCTTTTAATGGGTACCACCAATTTTGACCTCTTGATCTCTTGACCTTGGAGTTTGACCCACTTTTACAAGAAAAATACCTTAAACTTGGCCTAAGTTTTGAACAGGTGGTGCAAGGACTTTCATGCTCTAACATGTGTAATCATTGTGAACTTTCAACAGGTATAAATATTTTTGACCTAGACCTTAGAGTTGAACCCAATTTAACTTTAATCTTGGCAATAACTTTTGAACAGGTGAGGAAGTTCTAGGATTTCTCTCTTTTTTCACATGTGTATTCCTTGTGACAAGACTTTCCCTTTCATACCAACAATTTTGACCCTTTGACCTTGACCTTGGAGTTTGACTTACATTTGAGAAACTTCAACATGTTCAACCTTTGCCAAAAGCTGCCATAAGAGTTGCTGTCACGACAAACAAACAAATTACTAAAAAAACACAGTATACATGTACATATTTTATATTCAACAGATATACATCTGGTCATATCTCTAGTTCTCCCTTGTATGAGACATGGTGATATAAATTTAAAAAAATAATTATAATAAGAGTTCAAAAGGTTGTGCATATTAAAATATACTTAGCTCTGCGGATGAATTAGATATACCAGTTTAGCTTTATTTTGCTACCCAAAGCACCTTGATTAACTATTTATAAGCATACTGTTTTCTGAAATGTACTGATTTCTGTTGTCCATCTGTTTGTCTGCAAACTTTTCACATTAACTTCTTAAATTAAGAACCACTGGGCCAATTTCAACCAATTTACATTTAAATATGCAGGGGACTTTTTCCAACATAAATCTTCTTCTCAAGAAC